TGACCTTACCAATTTAAATTTTTTGTTGCAACAGCAACAGAATCAATTCATGGAGTCATTAGCGAAAGTTGCCTTACGGCAACAAGAAGTTATTTTTTTATTTTTTTATTACGTACAGTATTATTATTATATATACTATATATAGTATGTATTTATTTTAATAAGAATATCTGCACGACACGCAATGCCGCGCAGGACCAGTACGATCATATTGGCATGTAAAATTCAAATATATATATCTTATTGCGCTAAAACAAGAGTAAAGGTTAAATGGAGGTGCGATTAATGGATGCGCAGTGTAGCTCCAATAATGATATGTGGATTGAATGATACGGAGGTCTCTAAGAGCATTGAAAATTTATAAGGGCGACTTGATGATGACGTGAATTTAGTGAGATAAAGTCATTACGTGTACCTGTAAAAGTTTTCTTAAAAACTAATTCTCTATTTCACTAACATGAATAATGAAGTTAGTTTACATCAGAATTATCGTATTTCCACAAGGAATATTCCTGGTACAAAACTTACTTGCTATTCCGGTGGTACATAATAGTAAGATTGTATTGAGTTCGTAATTGCTACCACGAGTTACTGTAAAACATTTTTATTACGATAAATGTCCATTTTTAAAAATAATAATCTGAACAAGATCTGAATAAGATTTTTAATTTTTTTTTTATAGGGATTATGCTATGTCTTGAACAAATGACATAAAATGCGAAGTTTTATAACTAACTTAGCATGAAAGCCAACATTCGGAATAGTTCAGAACTTCACCAATTTTTTTTCTCGACTTTGCTCGTAATTTGTGTTGATTGATTTTCTATTCAGAGCCAATTATGCGATAGTTACTTAATATGCCATATTTTATCCGGCAAACTCATATGATCATAAAAAAAAATCTTTTTATTTTTTTCATGTGTTACTATGTAATTATGTTTATTCCAGTATTCAAAATTAAAACACAGCGAGCGACTCCCTACCAATCATGATCATAAATTGCCGGATAACACCAATATTGGGCAAAAATTGTCGAATACGGTAATTTGTCAAATGATTGGCTACACGTGCCGCAAAGCGGTACGTGCTCATTTGCCAAATTACCATTATTTGACAATTTTTGCCCAATATTGTATACGTATTATGCCAATAGTATAATACGGTATAGATATAGCTCGCATCCCTAGTTTTGTGACATTATAAATCCCGAATCAAGAGAACCATCAGAGCTAAATTGGATTAACACCCGCAATTGCTCTCCCAACCGATGGTCACAATATATGACACATAGATTATGTGCCAACAGTCACAAGCAGCCAATGAAAAAGTCTAAATTGGTTCGGACTTGGGGAAAATCGGCACTACGGATTTTTAACTAACACTAAACTATTCCAAATCAACACTAAACAACCAAACTCTATCCAATCCTAATGTTGGAAGGCGGAAAGAGGGCGTGGAAAGACTTGGTCCGAGTTATTAGGGCCAAATAGAGCTCTAGACTATGTCACGAAGCTCTTATTCGGAATCACGGGTTTATAAGGCAGTTTTATTATCGGGAAATCGGGTAAATGAATGTTTATGAGTTATGACGCAAAATGAGGAACACTAGCAGATTATGCCAGCTCTCGTTAGTTAGTTTTATTGAAGCGAAGTAGAGTCGCTTATATAGTTTTTACATGACTATTACAATACAGGTTTGAATAAGTTACATTTGGCCGCGAAAAGTACTAAAACTAATAAATCTAATATAGTGGAAAATTAAATAAAGCGAATATATTCGCAAAAGAGGCTAAAGCTACTAAAGCTAATATTTCGAACAAAGTAGCTAAATCTAATAACGTGACTAAAGTCACGAAAGCAGATAAGTCTAACTAAACAGACTTATCGGATAATTCCTATTCTCTAAGTTAAGTAACATATATAATAGTAATACCGGTAGTAACGATACTAGAATAGAATAAAATATAATAAAATATAATAATAATAAAATAAAAATTTTACAGGGGCCCTCACATCAATCAAAAAAATATATATTTAGTAATTATTTATCTTAAACCGAATTAATAAATTTTAATAATTGAATAATCATTTGACAATTGGTTAAGAACCAAATCTAGAATAATTACTTGGATCTTTAAATTGATTTGAGCCAGAAAATTAATCGTGGCGATTTATGCTGAGATTTGGGGTCACTGTTTAAATTCACAATACCTACTAAAATCCACCAATACTCTTTTATTAATAACCCTAACCCAAACTCTAACTAAACAATAAAAAAATACCTCTAAAAAAGCCCCTAAAATTTTATAATTTCATAATAAAATAACCTAAATTTTCAGCATAAGCATAAGCTGGCACATTGATTTTTAAGTCAACTATTATGAATTCTTAAATTATATAATAAATCAGATTGATATCGATACCATTATTTAATCAATAATCCTCGTTTGCACAAAGAACTAATTTTGCTTATTTTTATGTGAGAGATAATACCTATGACTTGTAGTACGTATATACGAACGGAATTTAATTCCATGCTCGTATAAACTACTGTCGGAGGCTAAACTGGGCGACAATACCAACCAAACAATCACCCAAACACACAAACCACAACCCACACCTCTCGATATACTCGATTGGTAGAGGCGGTCTTGATTTGGCAAGGTAAGGCTAAATCGGGTATATTGTGGGTTTTTAAACAATCGATTTTTTTATTATTCAAACACACTTGATTCATTGTCCTTTATTAGAGGGCGAAAAGAGCCCATATTTATAACAATTTACATGCGGGAGGAACTAAAGAAAAAACCTTTTCTAAACTAAACCCAAGCCCCAACACGCCATGCCGTGCCATCAAAGCTTTGCCTTCTCCGGCTAAGCTTTTGGCACCGCCCCAAGCCTAAATCAGTTCTATCCCGATTCTTCTTTCTTTGTGGCTTTTTGCCACAAATTTGCCACATTTCAGCCGTGATCACAGCCACCATTTCCTGGGAGCTTTGGTTCGGGTCTTCGTCACGGTTTTTAGGCCTAGCAACGTCAATTTTGACGCAGTGAGTTTTGGCGATTTTGCCTCTGGCACTACGTAATATAAAATCCGCTGATAACTTTGTTGCACAAAATACAATCTAAATATGTGTGTTTTGAAAATAAAATATAATTATAAGGTTTTAGAATTAACTGATAGGACATGAAAGAATTGCTCATTATTTTATTATTATTATTTTTTGTTTGGTACACAATATCCTTTAGTTAATAAACCAAAAAAAAACCAGTAGTTATAAAATATAATGCTATTGTGCTAACATTTTTTTAACATGAGCGGTTGCATTCAAGCGCTTTTAAATATTATTACTGAAACAATGCAATAATGATAAATTCATCACCGACTACAGTACATATTCACTTTAAAAGCTGAAGCTTTTAATTTAGCGGTCTAAAAAAAGGCTTCCGTGTGTACTATCTACTAATATTTTAAAGATATCCAGTTAATATAGTTATTGTGTGTATTTCTAATGCCACAAAAATTAATCTCTTTATTCACTTTCAAACCCATTCGCTTGCATCGAGTTTGCAGTCTAGTGGCCTTACCGATGACCTAAATATTAGAAGAATATTGATAAAATATAATCTAAGTTTGTAATACACTTTGCAAGAAGAAACTTTAGAATTCAATTAAAATTCTTAGACTTAGGGAAGTATCATTTATCATCTGATTTTTTTAGCAGGGGGTGGGTGCCAATGTAATCGTAATCATTTGAGGGAGGGGATAGATTTTACTATTTACAAAAAATCATCTGATAAATGACACTTCCCTTAATAGTAATGCAACTTTCAAAATTTAATTCTCAACTTGCATACGAGGTGTCATTAATGAAATATGTAGTTCTTTACATTAATTTATGTTTACATTGACATCACCCACGTTATTGTCACGTGTTCAAGAATGCGTATGTTTGTAACAACAGCAGGATGCAATCCAAATTTTATGGAAATGGCCAGCATTATGTAGAATTATGCAAAATTATGTAGATCATGAAGATCATTTCAGGAAGACAAAAATACGATAACCACTAAAAAAAAAATGCCGGAGACACAATTTTACATACAAAAACAGCCAAATTCCAACAAAAAAAAAACCAACCCTAATGCTAATTAGATAAATAACTTAGACCCATATACGGGAAAATTGGATTGCACGCTAATCTGCAACATTTCACGTGCTTTTGAAATAATAATGCCTGGCATTAAAGTCAAGGTAAGCAAATTTTTGCAATTCAGTCGTCGTAGTGAACGTCTGTAGATCTCCCACAAAAACATTAATCAATAAATCTTGCTTAACATCCTAATTGGTTAAAAATTACGAGGGGGTTTTTTGTGGGAGAGCTACCACATTAGTCGTAATGTTTATAATCACGTGGTTTTGAGTCTATAGTTTTATCACATTTACCTTGCAATAGATAATCTATTGCGTTGAGTAAAAAATTTTTTAGTAAGAGTAGTCTATCTCTAACACTACAAACTATAGTTGCAAATGCTTACTTAATTCCCTGATAGCTGAAGCAAGATCAGGAGCGACTATGACTACTACTTCTCTGGTCGAATGATTATTTTGTGGCATCGGGTGTGAGATAGATTGATCTTCATATTATATCAAAAATTAAAGATCATAAATATATCTTGGAAAGTTACTGTATAAACTACAGATGGGGCCTAATCCATGTAAGAAAATAACATCACAGTTTTCGGCAACATGCTGAGATCATGATACAATTTGTTACTTGGTTTAGGATGCCCTAGCACAATTTTTTAACTTTACGTACTTAATTGCTGATTTTGTTCATTTCTCGATGATGTAACAATTTGACGGTAAGTAAGATTCAGATCTGACCCATTGAATTGTGGCGAGTCTAGAGACATCGATAGTTGATACAATATATGATTAATATTTCAATATATTTACAGCATGAAATACTTCAGAC